TATATATAGATTATAGTGTTAAATATGTATTTATAATTCACTCATATTTTCATTTGTTTTTATAATCGGCGAGACACATGATTTACTGTTTTATTTCAGTCTGAAAATAGCAGTGACAACATCACGACCGCTACAATTGATTGGATGGTTGAAAAATATCTTCCCTTCTCATTTTTCGATGACGAAGCTACATAAGTATATTTTCGATCAATTTGCCCAAATATGGTGTTTCCTAAAAGGTCCACACTTAGAAGGAAGGTCAAAGAACGGTTTGAAGAGCTTCAATTGAATCTTAAGAAACGACTACAACAATTTTCATCTAAAATGTCATTTACCATTGATGGATGGACGTCAATTGCTGGTAGGAGTTACTACGGGGGTCACTATTCATTATATAGACAACGAATGGAAGTATCGATATGTAGTCCTTGATTTTATACCATCACGCGGTCGACATACTGGGGAAGATATTGCAACGATTTTCCACGAATATTTATTGGAATATGACATAATTGATAAAATACAGGGTATCACGGTCGACACCGCAACTGCAAATACCAAATTTATGTATGAATTGGACAAACAGCTGCCACACTTTGATTCAGACAATCAACATTTCCGGTGCTTTGCTCACATTTTGAACCTTGGTGTATAAGATTTATTGAAGACCTTAGCATTACACAGTGAAACTGACAATAAGGGACAAGTACAGAAATATGAAGATAATGAAGACGAAACTGAGAAAGATGAAGAATATGCGCCAAATATTGCTGACTCACGTACAGCTATAACAAAATTACGCAGTATTTCCAGTAAAATAAAAAGAAGTGAGATATTGAGGAGGAAGTTTCAGTCTGCTTGTGAAGCAGCTGGCGTGCCATCAAATCTGAACCCCATACTCGACTGTCCAACGAGATGGAATTCCACACATGATATTATTGGATTTGGTTTAAAAGTGAGAACTGGCATTAACATATTGTACACTTCTGTCACCTTATTGAATGATTTTCTAATCACAGATAGTGAATGGCAAATACTAAAAAAAATACATAAGTTTCTAACAAACTTTAAACTTTTATCAACGAAACTTGGTGGAGAAAAATATGTTACATTACCGCTAGTCATTGTATCATTCAATCTCTTGCTCGATAAAATTGAATCCATGGTAAAACAATTAGATGAGAAACCTAATCGATCCGAAGTGGATGAAAGGCTCATTCTGGGTTTTCAAGCAGCTTGAGACAAAATGCTTAAACATTATAAAAAGAGCAACTGGATTTATTGTACCTCTTTAATTTTAGACCCAAGGCATAAGACTCAGACTTTTGACATGATATTATGGGGGAAGCAAATTAAAACAGAAAGCCTGCGCAAATTTAATAAACTTTATAAAGAATATAAAAGTCTACACTCAGTGAATACATCTCTAGAGTCACCAAGAAATGAAAAGAAAGTATGTGAATATGATGAAGATGAAGACGTAATAGACTTTGAGAAATTATATGCATGTCTCTCGACGTTATCTGGATCTGGATCTTTTCATCAAGGCTTAGATATAGACGAGTTGGATGAGTACCTAAGTAAACCCAGAGCCGCCAGTTCAGAAGATATTTTAGAGTGGTGGAGGACGCATGAGACAGAATATCCGACTTTATCGAAGATGGCCCGTGATTTTCTTTCAATACCTGCTACTTCAGTACCTGCTGAGAGACTATTTTCTAAAGCATCATTAGTAATTAGAAAACATAGAAATAGGTTAAGTGATGAGTCAGCCAGATGGTTACTTTGTATTAATTCTTGGTCAAAAGAATTAATATAAAGTAACATACACAGTATGTAATTTAATTTGTATTGTATTTTATTTTTTTATTTAAATAAATGGTAAATTGTATAAATCTTTTATTCCATTTCACATAAGGATATATCAATCTCTTTCTAGACAGATAATGTTCTTTATAATACAGTCAAGTTAATGTCATTAATTTGTTTTTTATATGTTTTGACTAAGTTTTAGCACATGTAAGCCTAAACGTTTATTAAGAAACAGACTAACTCCCGTGGCCGTGAGACTTGGTAGACAGCTCAGTTGGTTAGAGCATCGGCACGGATCGCTTAGGTCGTGGGTTCAAACCCCATCCGGTATTAGTTAATTTTTCGAATTTCTCATTAAATGTTTAGACATTTATTAATTTGGTTGGTCTTTCTATGGCTATGTTAATTCAGGCTCAAAATGTGCCTACTCTGTTAAGTTGTTCTAAGATCTAAAGTAACGTTTATTAAATAACAATAGGGTAATAGGTAATTGCGAGACTTGCGAGACTCTTGCTGCAAGACCAAGACCAAGAACAAGACTGAGAGCGCAATACCAAGACCAAGAACAAGACCAGGTGTATTGGCGCAAGACCAAGACCAAGACTGGCTAAGTCTCGTCTTGTTCTTGCATTTGGGCAACACTACTTGATTTGTTTTACAGGTTACGTCTACGTAAAACTACTGTTTCATAAAAACAATTATATTAATTTCATAAAATCAATAATATTGACAGTAGTCACAACCTCAAATATTATACGATAATTAAAATAAAACTGTTTACTATGGTGTATGGTATACTATGGTGTCGAAAGAAAAACACCTTTCCACACCATAAAATCTCAAAAATAATATCTTATTATAAATGTATAATAAATAATGCGAAAAAAAAACAATTGGTTATTTTGAACATTCATAAACCACATGACGAATGAACAAGTTTTTCGTAGTCTGTGAAACGGATTGTGTAAAACACGTTTTTTTTACATATATGTTGACATGGCTTTTGGGCCTTTGAGTCATTGTAAAACGCGTTCCGTCTCCAAAAGTTTACTGAGAATGATAAATAAAGTTACATTACATTTTCCTTGCTTTATTGGAAAATTCAATTATGCGATACAAAATCAGTAAAAAAGGCAATTTTATAAGATATTTTACGTCACTAGACGCGTTAAAAAATTTTCGGGTCAAGACTGGACATGATTATTCTGCATACACGTTTGATTTGGATGACAACGCATGGTTAGATAAACGACGTCATTTTAAATCCAATATGATGGAATCCCAAAGAGACAGACAAACAGAAAGAGGACTAGAATTTTTTTAGCTTTTCCATGATATGGGTATCAAACAAAAGGGTTTGCTGAGAAAAATACAGAAAATAAAAGTAAAGCATGTATTTTAGTTTTTTTTTTATAATATTATTTGTCGTAAACTCGCTGGCATAATTTGAAAATGGTTATTAACTAATAATTTATATTAACGTAAATCTTACCATAGAAAAATATAAATATACGAAACTTACGAAAGCTACATTCAAAAAATGTATTTATTATTAGGATCGAAGCAACAAATATACGGTTTAAAAAAATTAGGCTTTGTAAGTTTAAGCTTAACATTACAGTTTTTTAACTGAGCTTTAGTAGTCAATTCGGTCATGTATTTATAATTTGATATAATTATGTATTTCTAGTAATAAGATTAAATGAAGGAAATAGTATTAGTTAAGATGGCAACATTAAGTGCCCCATCCGTAGACAGAGAAACCTATAGACTAATGATCGGCGTGGCCTCGAGTGAGAAAGGACGATAACGAATTTTTAGGTTATACAATAATCTTTATGACTTTTACACATTTAGATAAAAAATTTAATTGTTCTAAGAACTGAACTGAACAAGATTCACCAATTTTAAGCTCACAAAACACTTTTTTCTCACTTAAACCAACTTGTAAACTCCTTAAATCGCTACCCTGTTAAAGTTGTTTAGCAAACTGTAGAGTTAGCTAAACAAAAAAACCGGCACGGAGAAAGGGACAAACAATCACACTGCTCTATCTCATTTCTATGCAAGACGTATGCATAAATCTATCTTTTTCGTGTGCGAATGCGACCCCATCAGTAGTCTTGCCAGGTGTCCCGATTTTCGCGGGACGTCCCGATTTTCAAGGATCTGATGACGTCCCGATCCATCCTTGATCGGGACGCCAAATGTCCCGATTTTCACTAACCTTCTTAGTCAGTACTGTAATCCATAATTTTGACAGCAAAAATGATTACATCTATTAGCAACTTCTAGATTAAAATATTTTTACTACAACATTTTCTTACCAGGCGAAAAAAAAACACAAAAGTTTTAAATCGAATTATATTAAAACGAGCGATTTGAAAAATTCAGACTGCAAAAAAAAAACAAATTGTGAAAAATGTTTTCATTTGCCTAAAACAAAAAAACATAGACGAAAAAATGCAATTTTTACGATGTTTGGATGAAAAGTTATTCGTTCATGAGATTTTACCCGAGTAATAATTATAAAGCTCAAAAAGGCTACAAAAAACCTGTATTTTGTAGCCATTGTAGCTGTCCCGATGTGAAAACCAAATTCCCGATAATTTTTACCTTCCGTCCCGAAATATCACTTGCTAGACCTGGCAACACTACCCATCAGTCGCCCGCAGAATCATCTTGCGTGCACTATAATTATTGTAGGGAAGTTTTTGAATAAATCAAAAAGCATAATTTCCTATTACGCCATTATAATATACTAAGTCTATGTATTTACGAGATACTGGCAAAAGTACAATCATACGAGTTCACGACCAAATAAAGAAAAATTATTAATTATTTTAAAAATTGTACTAAAACACAAAAAAACTAGGAAACATGGATGAATTTAAATCAAATAATAATATTCATTATTCCAAAGAACGCTTAGAAAATATATTAGCAAATTTTTCTAAATGCAAAACCGTAATTTCATCTTATTTATATTATCGTTAAAATGTTTTTTTTATTACGAATTTTAAATGAAAATAAAATCATCAACAATGTATTAATCAAAACAGGAATACTTTAACGAAAAAGAAGAATGTAAAAAGTTAAAAGAAATTAATAGAAAATTAGAAACGGACTTAAAAGAAGCTCGCGAGTTAGAAAAATCCCACCGTTACCATTTACAGAATTCTCGTGAAATGATTGGAAATCTACAAGAAACTATTTCACAGTTGGTTTATCTTACAAGAGACGTAAAAAAGTTGAAAGAAGAAATTATTACAAAGGACACTACTATAGTAGCTATGGAAAAGGTAAAACTAGGTTTTTCTTGCAAGAGATACATACTATGGCCTCCTATATTACACCCAAAAACGGGACGCATACTTATTTATCACGAGAATATACATCCTGATATACATATTACTTATTACACACTCTCTCTACTTTTGTCGACGTTGTTGCCTTGTGGCCTAAGTTACAGTTAAACTCAGATATCTCGAAAGAAAGTGCCACAACCAACTGCCTTATTATTATAAAATTAAAAGTATAACAACAGTCTCGCGGCTGGCCCTATAGTCACATTCCGCCTGTGGCATCGCTTCCGAGCGGTTGCATCCAGGTAGTCCGCGCTTTCGTTCCTGTACGGTAGTGCTCCCCGCTCTCGCGCCCCCGCTGTCCCGCTCGCGCTGTACAGCGCTGACGCAGTGCTCAGTCCGCCGGCGGCACCGCTCTCGGACGGTCGCCTCCTGGTGGTCCGCGCTCCCGTACAGTACGGTAGTGCTGTCGCGCTCTCACGCGGAACAGCGTCGAGGCTGCTGGTGAGTCACTTTTGTGCTACAGCTCTTACCCCCCTGTCTTCGGGCAGGGAGGTCTGACTGACCTCCGCTTTCATTTTTTTTTTATTTTTTTTTTATTTTTATTTTTCATTTTCATTTTCTATTTTCATTTTCTTTTCATTTTCATTATAATTTTTTTTTTTTTTTTTTTTTTTTTTTTTTTTTTTTTTTTTTTTTTTTTTTTTTTTTTTTTTTCTGTACTTCTACTATTGCGTGCATAGTGTGTTGTAGTACGTCTCGCGTTCTAGTCCCTGTTCTACCGAGAGCAGGGACCCGACCTCCTCTTTACTAGATTATCTTATCTCAATCAACCCAATATGGCCAACTCCAGTCTTAGTGAGTCCCTAGCCGCCCTCATTACCCAATACGGGTTAAACGACAATGACACGGTCCTCGCCGCCATGGCCACCATCGCCGCCCAGGCTCCCCTCCCTGCCCCTCAGGCACACCGTCCGCCGCCAGTACTAGCGGCATACCTCGAAACGAGGAACTCCTTTGCCCCTCTACAGACCGCCCCCCTTACAAATGGAGTACGCATGCTCCGAATCCTCGGCGTCTACCTCTCGGAAGAGGCCCGCCACTACCTCAGGCTCCGGTCCATCGGAGTCCTCTGACTCCGAAGGTACCGATGAATCCAACTTCACCACGGTCACCTCCAAGCGCAACGGAAAGCGCGCTGCGATCAAACGCACCCCCCTACTTCAGCGGCCCCTGCCGCTCCATCAACCTCCGCAGCTCCTGACGCTGCCCCCGTCCCACTGATGTCGTTAGACATCCCTACCCCATCTAAACCAGCCTCTCGCTGTGCCCCAGTGCTGGCGAAGAAGCAAGTCCCGCCTCCTGTCTTCCTAAGAGACAAGGCTAAATTCACCCAGCTATCCAAGACCTGCTACGACGCAGGCATCAAATATGACCATGCAGTCAACCTCGGGGAGGCCATTAAAATCATCCCTAGCTCCATCGAGGACTTCCGCTCAATTACCCGGCTATTCACAGCCGAAAGGGTATCCTACCACACGTACGCTCTCCCCGAAGAGCGTAAAGTCAGGGCCGTCATCCGAGGCGTCCCATTTGAGTTCTCCAACGAGGAGATACTTGAGGACCTTAAGTCCCAAGGCTTCCCGGTTGAAGCAGTGCACAAAATGCACAACCGTACGGGCAAGAGGTACAACCTTGCCCTAGTAATCCTGTCCAACGTACCGGAGGCGAAAGCCATCTTCCGGCAGGTGCGCACAGTGTGCGGCCTGTCAAGGGTGAAGGTCGAGCCCCCACACAGACCCGGTTTCCCGGCGCAGTGCCACCGCTGCCAGCTCTATGGTCACGCGGCGGCCAACTGCTCCGCCCCACCCAGGTGCGTGAAGTGCCTGGAGCCTCATAACACCAAAGAGTGTCCCCGGCCCAAAGACGCCGAATCCCCGCCCGCCTGTGTCCTGTGCAACCAGACAGGTCACCCGGCGAACTACAAGGGTTGCCCACGCGCACCTCAACCTCGCCCCAGTAGGAAAGCTCCACCGACGGTGAATGACCGCTCATTCCCGGCCCTCCAACAACGGCCCCGCCAGGGCCCTCCCTCAGCCTATCCAGGGCTTCCCTCGACCCTCTCAGGGTCCCCCCAGGCCCCCTCAGGGCCCCCCTAGGCCCCCTCAGGGTCCCCCTAGGCCCCCCTCAGGGCATAATTCGGCCCCCCTCCGGGCTTCTCAAAGCCAATGCAGCCTCCAGTCTTTCCCTGGGGGCCCAAAAAGCAGACCCTCCGCGGACAACCTCGTACGCACACGAGGCAGAGCCCACAATTGATGACTACAACACACTATATTCCGCGATTAGGAATATAGATGTTAGGGAGATTACAGTAATCTCACGCAAACTGCGCGCGGCGAAGTCCCCCCAAGAGCGTCTCATCGCTCTTGCGGAACACAATGATCTTCTGCTTGCTCTGTTGTAAGTTAAGTTAACTTAATTAACTTAACTTCAATGGCTGATAATAATACTAACCTACCAAGATCCCACGGTCGTATCAAACCTAAGGGTTTATCGCTTGTATCATTCAATATTCGCGGCTTGCGAAATAACCTCCCAGAGCTAAAGCTCTTTCTTCGAAATCATGAAGTCGATTTCCTCCTCCTACAGGAAACTAATCTTAAAACTAAGGACACTAGAGGCCTTTCTATTAGAAACTTCTCTCTTCTTCGTAATGACAGACCCGACCGCCGAGGCGGCGGAACGGCCATCTATTACAAGAAGACACTTCATTGCTCGCCCATTTCTACTCCGCAGCTTACCAATATGGAAGCCACGGTATGCAAGCTAGCTATGACTGGACATCAGTCCATCCTCATAGCCTCCTGTTACATCCCTTCAGGAACCTATCCCCTCAAAAAAGATTTTGAAGCCATTTTATCCTTGGGCAATTCAGTCATTATGTTTGGAGATTTTAACTCCAAGCATACTGAATGGACATGCCGCACTACGTCCCCTAGTGGCAAGATACTGCTCGATATCACGCAGTCTCTTGATATCACTGTCCATAGTCCTCTCGGTGTTACTCACTTTCCCGATAACACCGATCACTCTCCCGATGTGTTAGATTTTGCGTTACTCCAAGGAGTTTCTCTCAACCTCAGAGCAATCGAGACACTAGACGATCTAGGATCAGATCACAGACCGGTCTCCCTCATTCTTGGCCATCAGCCACCTCCCCCAATACACACAAAAACCTTCACTAATTGGAAGGGATTCAAAGAGTCCCTAGCTAAAGCTCTGGACTCACAGGATTCTACCATCTCCATTCCGTCGGACTTAGACAGTCCCGAAAAAATCGACACCGCGGTCGACTCACTCTCCACCCTTATTAAATCCTCCCTTAAGGAGAACGAAAGGGTCGTCCCGGTTGCTAACAATAGTGGGCTTCCCCTACATATTAGCAACCTATTAAAAGCCAAAAAAGCTGCTTTCCGGAGAGCAGCAAAATATCCCACCCCCGAATATAGGCGCGCGGCCAATCGTCTTCAACGAAAACTCCGCTTCCGCCTCTCTGAATTTCAAGATCTCGAAAAGAGTAAGCTCATGGAGAATATCACTCCATCTCACACAGCGTACTATCAGATGGCTAGAGCCCTCCGCATAGACGCTATCACCCACACTCCCCCTCTCTCCCGTCCCGACGGCACGGTTGCCTTCGAGGACGAGGAGAAGGCTGAGTGCTTTGCGGATAGCATTGCCGATCAATGCTCCCCTAGTTCTCAACCTGTTGACCCCTCACACGTCCAGGCAGTAGAGGATGAGGTCCGCCGCCGGAACTCACCCCCTACCGCCTCCGAACCTATCTCTGTGTCCAATGATGAGATTTCATCCCTCATCAAAGGACTTAAGCCTAAAAAGGCTCCGGGCGCGGATGGCATCTCCAACCAAGCCCTCAAACACTTTCCCGAGCAGGTGTTAACCTTTCTATCTATTATCTTCAACGCCTGCTTCAACCTTAGTTATTTTCCCACTACGTGGAAAGAGGCAACTGTGATTGGAATTCCCAAGCCAGGCAAGCCTCTCAACCTCCCCCTCCAGCCATCGCCCCATTAGCCTCCTCAAGGCAATGGGCAAGCTCTTCGAAAGAGTCATCCAAACACGGATGAGGCGCTATCTGTTTCCCACAGACGGCGACCCTCTTATCATTCCCCATCAATTCGGCTTCCGAGCCAAACACTCATGTCCCCAACAAGTTCACCGCATTGTGGAATATATCCTCAGCGGTTTCTATCCTCGTCGTCATAAGACCATCGCGGTCTTTTTCGATATAGCCAAAGCTTTCGATAGAGTCTGGCACACAGGCCTTATCTACAAGCTCTATAAAATAGGTCTCCCCGATCGTCTAGTTCGTCTCGTGGCCTCCTATTTAAAACATCGTACCTTTCGTTTCAGACACGAAGGCACGCTCTCTTCACAGCGAACTATCAAGGCTGGTGTCCCTCAGGGCTCAGTACTTGCTCCTCTGCTGTACATCATATTCACCAACGACATTCCCATCCCGTCGAAAGGTGTTCAACTCTCCCTCTTTGCAGACGACACTGCCATCTACTGCAAAGGTGTCTCACTACCCTTCATACGGAACAAGATCCAAAAGTCAGTTGATGACCTAGGAGCTTGGTTCAAAAAATGGCGCATCGATGTGAACCCGGAGAAGAGCTCCGCCGTTCACTTCGATTATAAACGACGCCGTCTCAAAAACACTCCACCAATACGTATGCTAGGGACCCCTGTCCCCTGGCATACGTCCGCCAAATATTTAGGTGTCACTCTAGACACAGGGCTCACTTTCAAGCCCCACGTCAAAAGAGTAACCCGTCACGCACGTTTTTATCTGAGTAGGCTCAACAGTATGTTGGGCCGACACAGTAAAATGTCCCTTCGAAACAAGCGTACACTCTATAAGGTATGTATACGACCAGTCATGTCCTACGCGGGCCCCGTCTTTGCCCACGCAAACCCTAACATTTTAAATGAACTCCAAATAGTTCAGAACCTATTCTGTCGTCGAGCTGCGAACGCACCGTGGTACGTCCGCAATGCCGACCTTCATCGGGACTTAGAGCTCCCAACAATTCAGCAATTTCTTAAAAAACTCTCTGAGAACTTCTTCAAAGCCTCAGAGTCGCACCCAAACCACTTAATTCGTGAGGCAGCCTCTTATGCAGCCCCACCCCCCTCTCGCTATCGTGTCCGCAGGCCGAGAAACTCTCTCTCGGACCCGCCTAATAAACTTTCAAACGACCTGAACTGTCTCCTGGCAGCTCAGGCCAACTCTAATTAAATAAAATTATTGTAATATCTGACATTAATTTGCCTTCGTAGGCACTCCCTCAGCGGCACTTAGCCGCCTGCGCCCTCTTTTCCCAAAAGAGGGTCGCTCATGATAAGGCACAATAGAGCTTAATCAGCCGGTTGCCTGTCCCTAAAGGCGGTTTTTTAGGGGTATCACTTAGGGTCCCCGGTAGGACAGTGAGTCCCCCATAACCACGATAGACCGGCTATCGTGGTATGCGTAATGCATTTTCCGCCTCCCTACGTACAGGGTAGCCCTTTAATTGCTTCGGGCGCAAAAAAAAAAAAAAAAAAAAAAAAATGGCCCTATAGCAGTAAGTCCGCCGCACAGCTCTAGTGCGTGATGGCGAACTTTACATGTCATAGATTTTTTTATTCCTTTGATATGCAGGTTTCGTCGCAATGTTTTCCTTCACCGCCGAGCATGATTTACTAATCAGCGCTTAAATTGCACTTATCTATCAAATTCATTGGTGCGAGCGGGGAACTGGGATTGAACTCGTGTCACAGAATAAATAAAAATAATAGTACTACCCGTGTCATTCTTCAAGCGCGAAGTCCCTACCCCGTTTCTGCCTATAGAAAATTACTGTAAAGTAACATAAAAAACTACTACAGTACATTTTTTTTTATTTAGTGACCGCTATATCCCGTTAGTTTGAGTTAGTTATTTGGGTTTCTTATTCTAGATACAAAATATGGGTGAGTACGGATTCTCACGAGTGGCACTGTATTCGAATCTACTTCTGACCTTACTTCAGCAATGATAAACGTCACATCTGAGTTTATGAGGTCATATGTTTCTGGGTCTATACCTACCTCATCTAGATTAATCTAGACTTAGTTGACAGGGCAAGGTTGTAACGAGTTTTACAGCCAGGACGACATCATTATCGTCATCATCGTCATATATTGGTCTCGCGGCTGCCAAACTTTTAAAATGGTATATTTATAAAATTACTGCCATATAAATATTCAATACCCACACCAATATACATTGAGTAAGCATGATCCGCCTGACTCAACGATGATTATTTTTGTTTGGCTAAGAATTCTAATTCGAATTAATTTTATTTTAAACCATGGAATTCTTTTTTCAAAATTAGTCATTTGTTTATTGATTAACGTCATGTTTGCATTGCATTTCAATCTTTTTGTCATCATGGATATGTTAATAATACGAGTAAGTATGGAATATGAGTACCGTTGTGGCTGCAACGCGACACAAGCGGCACCTCAGATCATAGACTGTTCTGCAACTGGTACGCAACATCAACGACGTTTACGGAGCGAATACTACAAACGAACCTACCACCTGTTATTGGTTTGCCCGTTTCCGTTCTGGAAATTTCGACCTTAAAAATGAACCCCGTGTTCGTCTGAAAACTTTAGCCGCAATGACTAATTAAAGGCGATTGTGGAAGTTGATGATACACAATCTACGGCTGAATTAGCAGCAGCTTTCGACGTAATCAACAAAAAAAAAGTTTAAAAAATGGGTGCCCCACAAACTACGTATCAAGACGTGCTTTTTGCACTGCTCAACAACCATACAAACCAAGGAATTTTGAATCGCATTTTTACCTGCGTCGTAAAATGGATTCTGTTTTACAATCGCAAGCGCTCAGCAAATTGGTTGGATCCTGGTTTATCATCTAAACAATGCCTAGCAAAGCGATGGTCACTGTTTGGTAGTCTAGCGCCGGTTTGAATCATTACAACTTCTTACCAAACGGGATGGGCACTACTGCAGATGTGAACTGTGAAGAACTAAACACAATGATGGAGAAGTTCGCACGTCTCCAACCTTTGCTCCTGCACGACAACGTGCGACCTCATACTCCACAACACATGGTCTCCAAGTTACAATAGCTGGAGTCGGAAGGTCTCCGTTATTCGCCGTATTCACCAGACTGCGTCTGCCCGACTGTACTGACTTCTACTATTTTCAAAATTTGGATAACTTTTTGGCGGGAAAAAATTCTGTACCCGAGCGGCAGAACAAACTGCCTTTAAAGAATTCGTTGCCTCGTGTTCACTAAAACTTATTTCATAAAAAACAGCAGTATATAAGGTTTTTGGGCGCAACAATCATGCTTATTTACTAATATAATAAGTACATGTACTTTTTATTTTAAGTGTTGATTTACCACGTGCTCGACATTGAAGAAAAACATCTAGAGGAAACCAACTCATCTACGAACTTAAGTTTATCAAGGTAGTATAAATTCAGAAGAGTATTGTTTGCAAGCTGATGTTGTGACCAGGATTAAGAAAGGAGTGCTTCGGTGGTTTAGTCATGTGGAAAAAATGAATGAGGAAAGAGTGACAAAGAAAGTTTATGTTGCAGAAGTGGATAGCAGAGTCGCAAAAGGACGTCCTAGGTGAAAATTTATCGACCAAATTAGCGATTTATTAAAAACGGGCCAAATTAGGAGTTCTCTTAAACGATGAGCATGTATGCGTAGGTATATGGATGTGAAGGAGGCGAGAGAGGTGTGTCAGGATCGTCCCAAATGGAAGTCTGTAGTCTCTGCCTACCCCTCTAGGTGACATGCGTGAATGTTTATGTGTATGTATGTATAACTTGTCAGCTGTGGGGCAGCGTGGTGAATCGTTTCCTGCCCTAAAACCATTTCAGAAATGAAAGTCTCTTTGACATGGCGTGAGACGTAAATAGGCTGCCCACTTTTGGTACTCATATATAATTAAATGTTAAACGCCTTTTATTTGCATTCTATTAGGATAAAGAAGCAGTTGAAAAGAAGCAAAATGAGATTCTTTCAGAATTGCGAAACTTTTATGAACAACAGATAGAAGAAATCAAAGCTGAAAATGAACGGAAACGTGCGTAGACATTATTAATTTATATCCTTCTTTAGCAGTTTTTGTCCTTAACGTCAAGTTGAATAAAATATACTTCTTGGAATAGTAAATATACTAATAATGCTCTGAAAAAAATGCGGATACGTGAAATACTTAGTTAATTTTTTCATAAAATTGTGTGACAAACGAGCACACACTTCACCTGATAGTAGGTGTATGCCTTGACCCATAGACATCTACATTTATCCTCAATTGATAATCAAAATGCAGATACATTGTCACCCCTAAGGACTAAGATGGATTGCCTCGTTTCCAGTTAAAAAGGATCTCCGGTTCTCTACTGTCAACATGTGTACACAACAGCATTAAGCTGCTATATTACGCTGGTATTCTGTGAGAGCGTGGTCCTTACCCGGTCGAGCAGACCCATTCGTGCTACTACCATAATATAGCTGCAGCGTGGCTCTATCACGTAAACATTAATAAACTTTTATTAAATGGATTTTTTTAAATACCTTACATTAAGCGATTTAAAAAACAATAATCACCAACAAAAAAACTTTGACGTTCGTAACGCTCAAACTAACCATATAATATAAAATAAGTAATATAAAAGCTACAAATTCTATTTCCATCCTTTACTTTCTGAGACTAAGCAAAAATCTTTCAAATAATATAACTTTTTACCTACTTAATGTCTCACGTTTACTTAGTGCTGGGGAAATTGGCATGAAACGGTGAAAGAAAGAAATCCTCCCCTCAAGAAGCTGGGGAAAAAGGTCTGACATATGTTTTCACTTATGTAATCTTATGTGTATTAAAATCAATGAAGGAAAAGAAATTTCGAGATCCCTAACTTACGAGGTGGTGGGAGTCATTTTTTACCTGAAGGGGTTCATGACCTAGTTCTCTTAACTATATCTGAAGCAGTGCACTCACTGCTATATCCGGATTAAAGGCTAAGGAAACAGGTACACTAACTTCCGTATAATTACATGCTGTGACGCGTTTCATCCTTCATCATCATCATTTACTTGCTTATTATTTTCATTATATAATGAATCATTTAAAAAAAAATGATTTTAAGATTCTGACTATTTATAAGCGTTTTTTAAGTTTATATAGAAATATGAATATTCACTGGGATCAATCAGTACAGCGATAGCCCGGAGGCACTTTTTCGATGTGTCGTCTTAATTAATAATAATAATAATGAATGCCCCATAATAATAATCTTTATTGACATATAATGAGTTATAAATATCCTATGAAGCCTCTGAATCCTAAACTAGGTAAGAGCCTGTATGTCAGAACTCAGCACCTTCTCCCATTTTTCTTAGTCTAATGACTTTATATCAAGACAATTTTCAATTTTCCAAAGTGTGTGTGTGTGCGTGTGTGTGTGTGTGTGTGTGTGTGTGTGTGTGTGTGTGTGTGTGTGTGTGTGTGTGTGTGTGTGTGTGTGTGTGTGTGTGTGTGTGTGTGTGTGTGTGTGTGTGTGTGTGTGTGTCACGTTATTCCGAATATGTGTATTACATTAATTAATTTGAAGTTAGGTGTCCATAGGTTCCAATAAATGAACTGTACCTTTTTTTTTGTACATGGGGAAATGCCTACGCATACCCGCCTCGCGGGGGCAAGGACGGGTTATGTCGGACTCGCACCGACTAAAACCCCATGGTGTTCCACCTTTGTCGCTATTGGCAGGGCCACGGGAACGCTTTCGCACACATCCGCAGCCCCACCAGTGCCTGCCGCCCCATGGCAGCACCTCCTCGGGAGCGGAATATTCCACCCCGTTCTCCTTCACAGGTAAGGCGCACCAGAACACATGGCGCGCCTTCCTTCTCGGCCTCTAATTACATCTGCGCAACGGACGCCCCCGCGTCCAATGCAAGAAGGCCATGGGGCCAGGAAAAACAAGCACTTAGAAGTACTAGCCATCCCGACCCCAACGGCGGATCTGGTCTATGGCTCCGCCGCCAACCAAGATTCGGCTGCGGAGGGTAGGGAGAGCGGCGCCTCGCAATACCGACAATCCTCTCCCCCCGCAGCCCCACCACCACCGCATCAACGGTGCGGCCCCGTTTGAGTCGTGGAGGATAGGGCGAGTGGCGCATCGCCATACCAACACTCCTCTTCCTCCGCGACTCCACCTCGGCTGCAGCGGTAGGTGGGGAGGACACACCTCTCACCGCAGTCCACCAACACACATCCGAAGTGGGCTCCCCAAGCCCACTCGGAGTGGCCACCTCGGGCCGGCCCTCCACCTTGGACCAGCCATATGGGTTCCTCTTTGTTTCGCCGTGGGTGACCAAGCCACGGCTTCTAAGCCCCCCCGCCACGACAAGGCGGGAACCCGTTCGGGGGGAAATGAACTGTACCTGAACTATTTAATTTTTCTACGTTCTTTTTATGGAAATTGATGGAAATAGTTATTCCATTAATTTTACACTTAATACCTGTATACTTTACGTTTCAGATTTCAGGTTGGTCTTAGAAGAATTGATTTATAATAAAATATATTTTATTTGTAGAATACGAAAAAATTGGAAAATTCAACGGTGCACGGCTCACACGTTCATTATGTTAAAATTAAAAGAGTTGAAAATAGTAGTAGTAGATTATTTTTACAAGAAAAAAAACAGAGAATCTAATCGATTTTCATTAATAACTTTAAACGGTGTTGAGTTTAGTAACAAAAAGCAATATGCATCCTCCTTAGAATATATGGAATCTTATCTAATACTATTTATTTCAGTCTATGGCTAACATTTCTATTAAGCTAAAAACACTCGCCGACGCACAGACCAACAAACGGCAGTCCATTTATTTTTTCAATTACATTTTTTGTTATGTACCTAATCTAAAGTGAATAATTAGAAAATAAACTAATTTTATAATTCAATGTCAGTAGTTATTGTAACGTTAATAAGAGTATGAATTTGATATCTATACTACGGCCAACGAGCAGTGATACCAAATATAAACAAAACCAATGCAAGGTTATTAGGAATAGCAGGGGTGCGTAACTTTTTGATAGTTAAGTTATATATTTAAGTGGACAATACTAGGCTGCACTAAAAGTATCGGGAATGGAATATTTCCATTGTTCCTGTCATATTAAAATCTTTTTAATTGAAAACTCCTTGGTCCACACTCCAACGTGGACTCAAGCTCAGTGATGATCCCCGTCAAGGTCGTCCAAAAACTGCAGTCACCCAAGAAAACGTTGATGCTGTGCGTAAGCTGATTGAGGAAGATCGACATGTGACATACCACAAAATTCAGGAAACTTTAGACATTGGCATGAGTCAAATACAAATAATCTTGCATGAACAATTAGTTGTAAAAAAGTTGTTTTCCCGATGGATACCGCATTCGCTCTGTGAAGAGCAAAAAGCGGCTCGCGTTACTTGGTGCGTCAGAACTCTCGAAAGATTCCACGCAGAATCCTCAAATGCTGTATACAACATCGTATCAGGTGACGAATTCTGGATATACGCGTACGAACCCGAAACAAAAAAACAGTCACGAGTTTGGGTGTTCGAAAATGAGTTAAAGCCAACAAAATTGCTCGTTCACGGAGTGTTGCAAAAAAAATGGTGGCCACGTTTGTCTCCAAAACCGGCCATATTACGACTATTCCTCTTGAGGGACAAAGAACAGTTCATGCAGAATGGTATGCTAGCATTTGTTTGGCACAGGTCGTTTCTGAACTCCGTAAAGAGAACTGCAACCGCCGCATCATCCTCCATCACGACAATGCGAGTTCTCACACCGCACACAGAACAAAAGAGTTTTTAGAGCAAGAAAACATAGAATTATTAGACCATCCGCCGTACAGCCCCGACCTAAGCTCTAATGATTTCTATACTTTCCTAAAATAAAGAATAAATTGCGTGGATAGAGATTTTCATCACCTGAAGAAGCTGTGTCACCTGAAGAGGCCGCCTACAAAACTGCCATTTTGGAGACCCCAACTTCCGAATAGAATGGTTGTTTCAATGATTAGTTCCATCGTATGGAAAAATGTGTCAAATTTCGCGGAGAATACTTCGAAAAGCAATAAATATATTTTTAAATAGTAATGTTGGGTCACTTCCTTGATTCCCGAAATTTTCAGTGCCGCCCTCATATAATTTCAAATAATGTCAAGCAAACCAAAAAAATAGACTTTTTATAAATTTTGTTACAATTTGAATTATAGTATAATGTAGATTTAAATTAAATAAATGTTTTCTGCGCCATCTCTTTTCTGTATGGGTAATTATCATTAGGCCAAGATTCTTTAACATATTTGTAGGTATTAATAACCATATTTTATTCATTCACCTAAAATTAAATAAAATGATATACATACTTTACTGACAGCATCTTTAATAAATTAAAAAAGTTTTGTTATTACAGTTTCTGTTTTTAAATCACTTTAAGATGATGAACGTGTTAAAGTACTTTCGAAACCAAGAAGTTTTATCTAAAACTACAAAAAAAAATTCATATATATCCTATTCCTATACATACCTTTGAACGTTTCTTTTTCTGAGAAATAAAATCTATTGATTTATGTCTCGACCTACTTGGTTGTGGGTCTATCACCAACCACTCTTAAAAAAAAACAATTATCAATAAAACAAAATAAAAATTATTAAATAAACAACAATTATTAAACTGGCCTCTCGAATATTGACGAACCCGTCTTGACCCTGAAATGTTTTTGCCGGGAAAAGGAGACATTACGACAAATACACAAGATGGAAAGAGATAGATAATAGATTGTCAATTCCACAGTCGTTTTAAGGTAAATGACACTTCATATCGCTGCTAGTTGGCCGTACTATAGCTAAAAGTCTAAGAACGATTTTATGTAGCGAAATTGAGATATGGCCACATATCGAGAGTAGAGTCCTCCTTCACATAGTGAGGCGTGCAAAAGTCTTAATAAAATCGTTACATTATTACATGTGATGGTAACTTAAAACGGTGATTACGTTAGCTTAAGCTTAACCTCTGTCCCTATGAAACTATGGTCTGCAAAAATTTTCTATACTTTTCTGATCGTACGCTTAGTAAGAGATCGCGCAACTTCAGCAAAAAAAAATTAAAATCGTTTCATTGCTCGTTAATGAGCGTAATTCTAAAATCTTATATGTGCAATATGTAACGCGTTATATAAACTTTAATATTTATTTTCGTAGTACAACAAGTTCAACTTGACACCGATACGCAAATTGCACAGTTTACATGCGAGGTTGAGGAGTTGACGAGCAAACTAAATGAAGTGGAAGCGCAACACAAGGATAAGGTAACGTTTTGACCAATTATTATTGATATTTCTTAATAACTCATACTAAAATTAGCCATTTTTGTTACACTAGATGGTAGGAATACTTTTTTTGTAGTTTTTTACGTGGCAGAGCCATGCTGCCGCTATTATATGGTAGTAGCCTGAATGAGTCGGCTCGACCGGGGAAGGACCACACTCTCACAGAAAACAAATCAAATCATTTTCTTTAGCAATTTCATATCCGTGTTATTGTGGCTGATGTCATTTTTTATAGAATAAGCGTGACATACAAGCACACAGTCCACCTGATGGTAAGTGGATGCTGTGGCCCATAGGCATCTACATTTATCCTCGATTAAGAATCAAAAGGCAGATACGTTGTCACCCCTGAGGACTAAGATGGAATTCGTCATTTTCGGTAAAAAAAGGGTCTCCGGATCTCTACACTCACCATACAAAACACAGCAGTATTAGACTGCTATTTTACGCAGGTATTCTGTGAGAGCGTGTTTCTTCCCCGGTCGAGCCGACCCATTCGTGCTACAATCACAATGACTTAACTTTCACTTTGCTTACATAGATGAATATGGTAGAACTAGAGTATGAAGAAAAGCTTCAACGTAGTGCAGCGCAAGTCGCACAACTTCAAGACCAGCTAGCAAGGCAAAGTATGAGTACTGATGCGACCATAGATGCGTACCGACAGGTGAGTGACTGTATTATGTTATGCCTCAGTTTATATTATAGACATTTTTATACTTTTTTATTTTACGTGCTTTTGAATAGATTAAGCAACGTTTTTTTTAAACTATTTATTCTATGAGATCGTGGTGATAACTATATTAATATTAACTATATTACGTTTCTAGGGCAAGCAAAAAACGTGCATTGACCTCAAATATTATGTTAGCATCGAAACAAAACGACAGGTATTGCCTCCATACATTTTTTATATATTAAGTATCTTTATGCGCTAAGCGTGTCTCATGGTACAACATAAAGTAAAAGAGGCGGTGATTCAGAGATAACAAACCTGTATCGACACGATTTGCGGTCTCATGCCGTGCGTATTTGAGAAAGCGGGTGGAGCAGAACTCTTTCCTCATTCTGCTTTGGAATTCTTAAACTACTGGTTCAAATTGAATGAGATTTGAAATATGCCGTGTTTATACAATGCCCGCTTGTTTACTAAAATTCAGGTTTTATTCAAAACGAAGTTATAGAGGGGTAGAAAATGGCCTAAACTGCTTCGAAAGACGGTACGGCCGTGCCGATTTTTTGCTTGAATTAGAATACGCGAAAGCTAATAAACATATTATGATAAATTTTATGCATGCTTCAAGGTTGACTGCTTAAGCATGCTTAGCATTAAAAGTTCGTCTTTTTACGTGACTGCCAAGAAGTGGTTATATTTTGTACAACTACCTACCTACTTATTAAACTACTTACCTTATATAAACGTAATAATGAAAATTGTAATAAGTCTTATGATTTATAAATAATAAATTTAAATCAATATTAATTTGCTTTTTTAATTCATTTACGTACAGGATAATCTTCTTTCTTTATTATATAATTATAGACATAGGAGACATAGACAACTTTGCACTTGGCACCCTTATCTTACACTTTTATGATGTATGTAATAATACAAGGATAAAAAATAAACCCAAAAAAAAAGGTTGGCTACCCCGATGATACCGTCAAAGGTCAATGTACTTTTTCCGCCTGCCCTAGAAACGTACTATAATAATAAGTGACTGCCTTGTGGGTCTAATGATTGTCATAAGGGCCTGGGTTCGAATCCCGGGTCGGACCAAAAATTCAATTATTGAGTTTTCTGTCAAGAAATTCTCAGTAGCTGCCCGGAGTCAGAAAGTTGGCGAGACACCGCCGAGCCTGAGAACGCATGTAAAGCCGTCGGTCCTGCGCCTGATCTCTCTCCGGTCGTGTCGGTTTACCATCCCATCGGATTATGACAGTGAGGAAATAGAGAGTGCACCTGTGCTTTCGCACACACTTCACTATAACCCGGTCCTGCGCCGTCAGGACACCGTGACCGAAATTCAGTCGGAAGGACATTATACTACTAATATGTCCTCGCCTTGGACATCCAAAAGTCGAGTGGGCCTGACGGAATCTCCCCAATTGTGCTGAAGACGTGTAACCGGTGCTCCAGAGTTGGCACCGGTTTTGACGCGTCTTTTCCGGTACTCATACTCCCTGGGCGTAATCCCAAAATCATGGAAGACGGCTTTTGTCCACCCGATCCCTAAAAAATGCGACTGTTCAGACCCGTCCAACAACAGGCCTACCGCCATCACCTCCTTGTTCTCCAAAACAATGGAGTCTATTGTAACCTGCCAGCTCATGAGGTACCTTGAGGATCACCCAATACGGTTTTCGTTGTGGACGATCAGCTGGTGACCTTCTGGTTTTCCTGACTCATAGATAGGTGGATACAATAGAGTCCAAGGGAGGAGGCATTGGCCGTAAGTTTGGACATTGCGAAGACTTTCGATCGGGTTTAGCACAAAGCGCTTCTTTCGGAGCTCCCTTCCTATCGGCTTCCCAAGAAGTTGTATAATTTGATCACCAGCTTTCTTGCAGATCGGAGCGTCAAGGTTGTTGTAGACGGTGCAAGCTCCGATTACAAGCTTATTAATGCTTGTGTTCCACAAGGCTGCGTGCTATCGCCAACGCTGTTTCTTCTGCATATCAATGATATGTTACAAACCGGCAACATTCATTGTTATGTAGGTGATAGCACTGGTGATGCTCTGTACAGCGACCATTCCAATATTTTTGTATTGCACATGGAGTACTTTTTCCATCTCTGGGCTGGGGCTCCCCAGTGCTAGCTCCTTCCACTTGACTGTATCCAGCGCAGAGCGGCTAGAATCGTCGAGGACCGAGTGCTTTCCGATCGGCTCGATTCACTGGCGCTGCGAAGAGATGTTGCATCTCTTTGCATTTTCTTTCGCATATACCACGGGAATGCTCTGAGGAGTTGTTCGGATTAATCCCAGCCGCCAAATTTCATGAACGCACTACGTGGCAAACCTCCCGATACCATCCACACTATCTGTATGTTTGGCGATCTGCCACTGTACGTTTCACTAGGAGTTTTCTTCCGAGTACGACCTCTTTGTGGAATTATTTACCACCGGCGATCATTCCGGACCGATACGACCTGGGGACCTTCAAGAAAAGAGTTTACTCCTTTCTAAAGGACCGGCAACGCACCTTCAATTCCCCTGATATTGCGGTTGTTCATGGGCGGTGGTAGTTAGTCCGTATGCTCGTTTGCCCCCTCTTCTTAAAAAAATATAGCTGTATCATGGCTGTATCACGTGAATAGCGGTGGTTACTGCAGTCCATGGACACCTGCAAAAAAAAAGGAAAATATATCTATATTATGGCTTCCGACAGATGTTTAGGCTCGGATTCAGTCGTAAATATTTAAAATAAACATCTACAAAACTCTTACTAAAAGGTTTTGAATTTCCAGAGATTAGAAGAACTGGAAGAAAAACTGAAGCAAAGCCAATTCAAAGGATACCTAGCTCAGAACAGAGACTTATACAATAACACTCGTTCTGTTGATTTAAATCCAGTGCTTGAGAGCCCTAACCAGCTGCCAAAATGTATGATAAATCAGAACAAGATGCCAAGAGAAACTAATTCTCTTCAAGTTATATACAGTGACAGTAAAACTCCATGTACGATGAGCAGCAACGAAAAGAAAGGGCAATTCAATATTAAAAAAAAGCGTAAGCTCTACACTGACAAGGGCTATCAAGACTTTTAATTTCTATGCCTCATTTGTTGTTACATTTTTTTGACATTTCTGTAAGACTAAATAAATGCACGTTCTCAACGTCGCTCACTGGGCAATTTATTGACTTTCACTTCTCGTTTAAGTGTATTCCTATGCATAGACACGTCTTGTGTTTCGTTAAAAGACAAAAAGACATAACATGCTTTCTACTATTTTGTGGCAATTAGGGAATGCCTGTAATTTTTTTCATAATAAAACCTTTAAGAAGTCTTAAGAACCTTTAAGAAGAAAGAATCCTTGGTAGGAATCGGTGTTCTTTCGCGAGGATTTGTGGTCTATCAAATCTGATGTAATGGTTGGGGCCGTCTAGGATATGATCACAAACTGCAGACTTCCCGGAACGCGGAATGATAACGAAAGGATAGGATGATACGTGAGGCTATTGAAATTAAAAAACATCCTAATTTCAATAGACAAGGAGGCTGGGTACTACCACCTGCTTGGGATCCTATAATCAATAAAATTAAAACTAAACCCAAGCATACCACTGCAAGACCTCAAGACATAGTCAGTTCATTTTGCATAGATCGGACCATAAACAATAATTAAAAAAGCTGAAGGTACTCCGGGTTTAACAATGACATCGGGACGTCAGTCATCTCAGTCCCCCGTGACCATGGGTGCTGGAAAGCGCCCGAAACGTCGGGAATTAAAAATAAAAAGTAAAAATAAACGTGATAAAATCCGTAAAAGTAGTTTTAATCGTGTGCAATGTTCGCGTAAATATAAGAAATCATTACTTTAAGAAGTAATTTACGAGCTAATGCAAACATGCTACAACGATAGTTTAACCAAATCCATCCCTAGAATCCATTACCACATTTTGTCCTTTGGGTGTCGTTAACATCTACCAAGGGGTAAGCCAAAAAGATCTTCGTCTACACTTCGTTTGTGCCAGTGAAATATTTGGCGGATTTCAATAGGTGAAGTTAAATTGATAGGAAAACATAAAGGTAAGAAAGTAGAAATACTTATTCGATTAAATAGACAAACCAAATCTTTAAAGTAAAGGTAAAAAGAAATTCTAAAATTCAAAAGAGACTTAAAAATGCCCAAAAACTAAATTAATAAATAGTAACCACTGAGGCATCCTTTTGTGTATAGGAGCACAGTTTAACTATGTTTAAACTGTGATAGTGGTATATACTGGAAACCGAAGAACTTTTATTTGAAATGCAACTTTTACCCTACTTTATTTATACTAGGCATGATAGGCTATTATAAACTAGAAATAAGAAGGGAAGTTGCTCTCGCCACTTATTTACTAAAAGTTATCCGTGGTAACATACATAACCCAGTTATACTTCAGATAGCTAAGCTGTGTGTCCCTAATGAGTACGTAGGAAGACGGCGACGGCCGCCACTCTTGTTTGACGCGCGCACTGTGTGCACTTAAGGGTACACTAGTCACTCATTCTTCCATACAAACGTAGTCTGGCGATTATTCCACTGTTTGACGGTGTACGTTCAAAATAAAAAAAAATCAATTTGTCTCATCATTATCTAGCCCTGTATGGAAACAAAAAAGTAAAAAAAAGAACATATTTAAAAGTAATAATTCTAGCACATCTTTGGGCGGAAATAAATACCATAAGAAGAACGAAAATTGCTAAACAGTTACCATACAGGGATAGATGAGGTGTTCAAAAGTGCAAATAATTTTATTTTGAACAGATAAATTCAATAGATTTTCATGATATCCATATTCCCAAAGGTCTTTTTATAAAATTTCGCGCTTTCGTTTCGTTGTAAATCATCATGCCTTTCGCTTTCGCACGTGATGCCGGCTGAGATAGCATGCATTTTAACCCCGCCCATCACTTAGTTAGTGCCATCGACTAGGGCCACCTTACAGACTGATTTGTTGAACTGTACTCTGAACGAATTCACAAAGACCGCTTATTGTAAAATATACTAAGTTGTGCATAATATACCTATACTCGTATTATGTTTGTTCTAGTTTCTTAGTTTGTAACTGCACTATTGTATCAGGTAATATACCTGTGATGATAGTTGTAAGAGGTAAACAAATAAATAAATAAATAAATGTTTACTCCTGGTGACACTGTAGCAGATAACTTCGCATCAGTCCCACCTTGCGAGGCGACATCTGGTGAGCGGATAGTTATTACTCCTCAATAGATGCTCGTACTCAACTGTCGATTTTTACAGGCTGATGATGAAAAAGAAGAAGAAGAAGAAGTAGGTAATTTATATGTCAATGTGAACACAACTTTAGCTTAGTGCTGCTTGCTGCGCGCTTATAAATTATTGATACCGTGACTTACAAATTTCACAAAAAATCTACGGTAAAAAATGTAGTTTGGATTTTATAAAGAAGAATAGTTGGCCCCTGTTTAAAAAAAACAACCCCTTTGTTTAAAAAAATCACTAAATATATCTTCATTCGTTTCATTTACTTTCTAATTACTTACTTATTTTGTGAAGAACTACTGTGTGTTTCTGTTCTGTAGAACAAACTAAAAATCTTTTCGACATTTTCAAAAATACCTCGGAACCCTGACAAATGCCTAAAAATCCTGACATGTCAGGACAAATCCTGAAGCCTGATAACCCTAGGGAAATCCTGCTGTGGTTACGCGAAGAGAAAAGCGCTTACAATTAAGTAGACCATAAACTCGTCCCGTCACTTAACTGTCATAAAAAGCCCCAAAGCTCAAAGGTAGGTAAATACAATGCGGCGAGGGAAGGGCGCAAAATATCAAATATGTAATAAAAATAAAAAAATGATTCCTTTATTGATGGCTATATAAGCAAGCTCACCGCTGCTTAACTGAATATAGAGAGCTTTATCATGTGGAGTTTTTCTGCGGTAAGAGACGTATGGGGCGGCCTCTAGATGCGGGTAGTTGGAGTGACGATGCAGGTGGCTCAGTACAGTGCTTTGTGACATTCCTTGGGGGAGGCTATGTTTAGCAGTGGACTATTGATGGGCTATAATGATGATGATGATATTAGTATAAAACATAAAAAAAATCTGTAATAAATAGCTTAAAAGCATATTGTAAAATATTGTTAGGACGTATTACTAATCGATAACCGTTGTTGTGTTGGAAGTAATAGCGTTATGCCAGTGAACATGACTGGGGACAATCCAATTAAGTTTCCGCATACACCTTCTATAGACATGACAATCTATTACATGCAAACGCAATCTCGAGATCAAATTAATGCAAAAATAAACGATGACTGCATTTTTATACATATATTAATTAATATTATCTATATAAATAAAATTTCAGTGTCTCTGTATTATTCAAATAACTAACTTTTATGAAGTTTAGGCGGTTACTTGCATACTATTAAGATTTCATATCCTAATAGTATGCAAGTAACTGCCTGTACTTCATATAAATGTTAGTATGTCTGGGCTAATCTTCAGAATTGCTGAAGTGATTGTGATGAAACTTTACGAACAGATAGAGAGCAATACTAGGGTTAAGCTACATTCTATCCGAAAAACTCGAAGTTTTCTTTTTTTGAAAAAACAATAAATTGATAAGATAAATTGTCTTTGAGATAATCGCAAATTTTAATAACGCCAAATTAGTAAATAGTATCCAGGCAAAGCCAGGGCTGGTCGCTAGTCATAAATAACTAAAGAGAATAAGCTGCTTTATTCCCCAAAAACCAACTTGATCTTAAAGTTAAGTTAAAGTCTATAAACATACTATATTCCTGTGCACAGACCTCCTTTTTTCTGAGAGGGTTTTAGGGCAAGGAAGTGTCGTTCACGCTGCCCCAATGCGTGTTGGCAGACTTCAAATGTCTTCGAAATATTATTATATTATTACTTATTCAAGTACAGTAACAATGTAACAAAACTTTACTTAGGATCTAGTTTAATATTATGATCACGACTTTACTTGTTTGGGTTCGTTTAAGTTAAAATAATTCGGAAAGATAAAGGATACGTGCTAAATCCTCGTGTTAAATCTTCTTATAATCATTAGTAATGATTCCTTATATTTACGTGAATGTTCAACAAAACTAATTTTACAGGTTGTTTCACCTCTATTTTTAGTTCTTTATAATTCCCAACATTTCGACCGCAGTAAAAGTTCTTAATATTCAAGAAATCAAGCGGGCTTTACTTGTGTGGTATCTGTATATCTGTCAAAGTGTGCGTGACACCAAAAGCCCAAAAGCGCGTATTGTTAGCGGCGGCACGCTTGCAAACAATATTGTAGATGTAGTTATTTCTCGCAACTGATCGCTCCGTCAGACCCGCACACTATCGCAATGTGCATGTTCGCGTTCAACCACGAGTAAAGCCCACGCGACGTCATGAATTACAAGAAGAAGTCTGTAGTAAGCGAAAAATTTTTGGATTGCCCTTATCGATTTGAAAAAACAAACCGGAAGAAATATTTTTTGAAGGTAGGGAAATCTGGGATAGAGCAACGGAACCCAAGGGGCCAGTAGCTGACCAACTTCATGGAGAAAGAGCGACTTTTTTGATGAACTCTTCGTTCCAGAAGCGGCCCCCACAGAATGTGGACCCGATCGAACGCCGACGGTTTGACAAAAAATGAAACTGATTTCATTGGGTGCGTTTGGCAGAAAAAAGCGCTAGCAAGCGCTTGTAAGCAAAATGGCGATCGTAAGCGGTAAACGCTGTCAAATCGTAAGTAGCTATTTTCCTCCAGGACACGATGTTAGTTTTAACCGAGGAACCTAACTTAATTTAAATATATGTTTGTAAAGTATTCATATTAAAAAGTTACCAATTTTGAATTTTTAATAACATGTATATGTTTATTCACGTCATTATATTACTTAAAACTAATATTGCACAAAACAACTTATAAACTCTACTTCAAAACAAAGAAATTAAATAAGCAAAATGGCGGATTGTGTCAGCGCTACTGAACTAGTAATCGTGTCCTGGCCGAAAACTATTTCAGCGCTTGTAAGCGCTTGCTAGCGCTTTTTTCTGCCAAACGCAC